TCTATTAGTAAATCAAGATCACGAGCAGGATATGGTTTAAATGTATTGACATGACACAACTGGATCTTATTTCTCCTTTCTGGCATGGAAACTACATAGTTTTGATCAGAAACTCGCTCTAAAACTGTATATGGACCATGCCGATATGGAGCATGCCGATTACTCTTCATTGTTTCCTGAGCCACTGTCAATTTCTCTTTTGTGAGCTACAAGCGCTGTATGAAACCATTTACATAATCCACCAAGTTTTTTGGGACAACAGGCTCTTTCAGCGCATCCACCACCACAGCCAATGGACTTTTCACGGCGTGCGCAAAAAACAGTTCATTTGGGCTAAACCCAGTGATTTGCTGAGTTACCTCTCTGGCAGCCAGCATTAGCCAAGGCAGTCCTTCCTCCCAGTCAACTGCCAGTTCAGTACAATAAGCATGCAAGAGAGACTTCAGAGTCTGGTGGAAACGCTCCAATGCCTCCTGACTCTCTGGATGATATGCTGATGAAGGTTCTCAGTCATCCAGGTCATAGTCATTCCGTAAAAATTCCAAAAAATATCCACTGGACTTGGTTTTCAAGATTTGAAGACGTTTCGCCACCTCTGGATGATATGCTGTCGATTTGTGGTGTCGCACCCGCAGTTGTTTTAGCACCTGACTGAATAAATGCGACGAAAAATTAGTTCCATGGTCAGACTGTATTACTTTAGGAATGCCAAACACTGAAAAGAACTAAGTACGAGCACGTACAGCTGACCTAGCAGTTATTGTTCGTAACGGATAAGCTGTTGGATAATGTGTAGTTTAACAACACATCACAGTACGCAAAATGATGAACCTGCCTTTGAGCAGGGTAACGGGCCCGTGCAATCTATTATCAAATGCTCAAATGGCTGAGATGTGGCAATAATTAGGTTAAAAGGGAACGGCTTCAAAACCTGATTGGGCTTGGCAATGAGCTGAGAGACATGACACGTCCTAACGTAAGACGAAACAGCCTTCTTAAAGCTGAAGTCTGTAAGTTTCACTTTTTTGTCATATTGGCTAAAACTGTCCCTATGCCCAGACAGCAGTACATGTGATATGTAACCTGTGAAAAAAACTGCTTCAATTGGTCCCGCCTACTGCCTGTATTGCAATCTGGAAAGAATATTTCGGGACGAGTCAAAACAACCAATCACAGCCAGAGGAGCGTCTGATGGAGTGACAATCACAGCTCACACACGCTGAATTCTCTGGTCTGGTGTCTGATCATTATTTTGACAGTCCTCTATGAGGTTCAGGTCATGCTTATTTATTGGACAGAACCGACCAGTGATTCCATGGTCATTAACGCTGGTATTGCTGTCTGCTGATATGGCGGGTCTCCAGTCCTGCTGGAAAAAGAAATCAAAATCTCCATAGAGCTTGTTGGCAGAAAGATGCATGGACTGCTCCAAAATATCTTCTACTGACCTTGGACTTGATGAAACAAAGTGGGCCAACAGGAGAGGATGCCATCGCTCTGAAAATCATTGTGGGAATCACGCACTGTCCCTTCAAGAAGCGTTCATCAAATGAAATTCAAAATGTATTTCAATCTGAGAACAGGACTTTGGACCATAGATTAACAGTCCATTTCTTCTCCTTTACTGAGATGCCTGGTCTCAGGCTCAGCAATGCTGCAAAGAACTCTGCAAGCATAACCTAAGGACAAGCTGCAGCTGAATATCCTCTTTACAATAATCTACCCTTGTGGAGGATGTTATTGACAACCATCTGCCATCATCCTCATGATGTGAAAGTCAGTGCTGTCCAAAGCTTCTACTGCCTCGTGGACTAATGATGTTCAATGCACTGCCAGGCAGCAAAACCTATACGAATACATAATACATCATTTTCTAAAGACAGAAAATCTTTGAAAATGTTTCACTTTTTTATGCTGTGTTATATTTTATGCCACACTTCAAACTAGAGTAAAAGAAAACAGAGTTATGGAATAATAGACAATGCTTTGTGTGTACCTGACATTTTCTATTGTTAGAGCATTTTACCTTTACATATTTTCTGAAAGGATCCACATCAGTTGAAAATGTTATGCTGTGATCGATGAAAAGCGGGAAAAAGGGTCTTTTGACTCAATTTAATGAGGGCTGTTCATTTTCAGAGGAAATAAACAAGAAAATATCAGAATCTCCAATAAATGACATTAACCTTCAAATGAGCAACCCAATGCACCAGCATGGAAAGAAAAATAATTTGCTAATAACATCCTGGTGGTGAAATATGGCTTTTTTTTTTTTTTTTTTAGGTTTTTAAAGGTTCCTGCAACCCTAATTTTTTTAAATTAGGAACTGTCTGCATCACCTGCAGATGGAAAGTAAAATTTTTTGAATTATGGTAGATGGCCTTAAAAAGCCCCCACACTTTACACATGCTGGATAACAGATAAAAGGAATTCTGGGTTTTAATTGGCTGTAAGCCTTCATCTTCAAAATGAACTGTTAGAAAACACCATAGTGTGTAATGAATCTGTATTATATAGGAAGGCCTCATTTTCAATAGAATTTTTTAAATAAAATCTTTCTAATTTCTAAAACAAACATAATGTGTACGCATTTATAAACAGAAAATGATTGAAAAAAGGATTTATAAACCAAAAAAATTATTTTGTGAGGGAAAACAAATGTATTTTTGCCTCCACCATGTAAATGTGCACAAATAAAATGTTTGATTTTAATAAAAAAAANGGGCTTGGAGGTAGGGCATGAGTGAAGCAGAGAGGGTGGGGGAGTGGCGTGAAACCTGTTTTTCTTCAAATTTTCAGTCGAAGTCTGCTCTCTCCTCAATGTTACAGACTGCAGCTTTAATACCAAAAAATTCTCATACAATACTCATTATGAGCACCTTTTAACACTGCAGAGCGGAGTTTACTGGGAACCAATATTTGAAACACTGACTCAGCCACAATATCAGCATGCGGTAATCATTTCCTCACCAACAACGAGTCCTGCAGGAAGTATCCACATGCCTGTTATTTCACTAAGTGGCAGCACCTGATCGAAAATATTTTTCAGAGAAACTTCGGCTTTCTGTTCCGCCACAAACTCACTGCGAGACAGAGACATGGGGAAACTGGACAAAGGCAAATTAAGGTTTTTCACATATTTTTCCTTTCACATTCTTAGTGCGCACCATGGTCCTAGTAACTGCACATGCTGTAAATATATCTGAATTCCCCGTTATCTTCATCACTCTGAGAAAAAACTCTCTCAACTGACACCAACGTAAACAATTCATCCAAAAGCACGGTGTCTGCCCACAAACGAGTTCCAGGTAATCCATTACCCAAAATCACAGAGACTTCGTCAATTGGCAAACCAGGGCGCACAGCCAATTGTGCAACACCGGTAAATAGTTTGCACTCTAGAAACACTCTATGTAAAGGGACAAAAATCACGTTTAATCCCATACCCCGAATCGGAACACAGGTACCTGTCTCAGACTCAGTCGAGAACGGCAACACATCAGCTCTAATAAAAGAGTCAAATGCCCCAGTGTATCTTAGAACCTTAACACGAACCTTTCCCCCGCTGTTTGGCAGTGACACATATCCCTCGCTAATGAAAGGCAGAAACGAGACGCTTACTTCCTACACTAACAAAACACTAACGAAAACAACAGGTGCAGTCCTAAATGGCAGCACCTCTAACAGGAGACTGAATCACTTAAAAAGAAAACAACATAGATGCAAAGGCCAAAAAAAACCCCACTTCACTTACCTGTATATTGGGTCACCAAATTGACAACCTCTATACTGTAGAAATTTTTTTTCGGACAAGACCCCATTTGTTATGGCCCAGCTCCCAGTGTTGCAACAAAACAGGGAGGACACAGCAACCAGGAACGTTTTTAGCCCTTCAGCTGCATTTATTATAGACATGAATGAGCGACAGATAACATGCAATGTGCTTCCAGTAGGCGATCCCTCCGCCTGGTCCTCTCTCTCTTTCTGCCGACCGATTCCAGACCTCTGGACCTGACCAAACCCAGGACTCAGCTGTGGTCCTAGCCCCGGTTGGTCCCCTGGATCAATCCTGGTTCCCTCTAGTCCCCCCTGGAGCCACTGATGTGCAGAGACTCCTTCAATGACACCTCCTTCCACGGTGCCAAACGATCTTGATTATGAACGGCCCTCTTTAACTACCATCCAGTTGGCCACGTAATTAGAAACACCTCCCACAATCAAGGACCTGCGTTGAATAAACAATTAGCAGCCACTTGACACACAGCAGGGCCGTCACACTAGTGTTTTGTTGTTTCTTTACCTAGAATAGCAGCAGGTTGAACCACTGCTCAGTTAACATGAAGCCATGTCAGTTGCATATACCAGTTTACATTAATGTTCTATAAAATACTCAAGGCACTCACTGCACTTGAATGAAAAAAAGGTTATTTATTGAAAATAATACAACAAAGATTAACCTCCTATTGATTCAGTCTGAAGTGTTGAAATTTGAAATGAAAATAAAATGTGAGTGTAACCAGCTGGTTCTTTGTTATTAATGTACTTGGCTCCCCATGTGTGTTTTCTCCTGACGTCTCCTGGTTTTTTGGATTGATTCATGAATTTTGTTTCTGTTGCCCTTTGACTACATCAAACCTACAATAACTCATCTCCGCCTCCCTCATCTTTGCATTTGGGTCCTCAACAGACCTCAATCCTCATGTTGACACCATCTGCTTGGATCTGATCGCCTGCCATTTCTGCAGTCTTCAAGGCTTCAGCATCTGGAACTCTCTGGGCAGCGTTCGCCGTTTTGTGTTGGCAGCTGTTCGGCTGGGATCCACCTCTTCCTCTGGGCACGGACTGAGCTGGTCAGTGACTCACACGTTAGTAATCATCCCCTGCCAAATCAAAGTGGTCACTAACCTGTGTGTCCCTCCTGCAGAGGTTCCTGCCTTAGACACCCTAGCTGCCAACTGCCAATCCGTAATTTTTAAATATACAATTTCTGAGAAATCTGTTTGTCCATCGATCCATCTATCTTCTTCCGCTTATCCGGGGGCCGGGTCGCGGGGGTAGCAGCTTCAGTAGGGAGGCCCAGACATTCCTCTCCCCAGCCACTTCGGCCAGCTCCCCCGGGGGAATCCCAAGGCACTCCGAGAACAGCCGAGAAAAATAGTCCCTCCAGCGTGTCCTGGGTCTCCCGCTGGACCTCCTCCCAGTGGGACATGCCTGGAACACCTCACTAGACTGGAGACATCCAGGAGGCATCCTAAACAGTTTCCCGAGTATCCCCGGATGACTGAGGTCCTCACCCTATCTATAAGGGAGAGCCCAGACACACTAAGGAGAAAACTCATTTCAGCCGCTGGTATCTGGGATCTCGTTTTTTTGGTCATGACCGAAAGCTCATGACCATAGATGAGGGTAGGAACGTAGATCAACCAGTAAATCGAGAGCTTTGCTTTTTGGCTCAACTCTCTCTTCACTCTCACTCTGTGAAAAGAGAGAGAGAGAGAGAGATGAAATATGTTTGTCTGCCTTGACAGTTTATCCCCATATTTATTTAAATTAAACCTAAATTCCAGAGTCCTAAGACAGAATCGTTTGAAATGAACCAAAATCATTTATGAATCGAATTGGAAACAATGAACCTTGATAAGAATCAAATCCTTGTTAAAAGGAATGGTTACACCCCTAATTTTCCTGTCCGATAATTCCCTGCATGTATTAAAGATTCAAAGATTCAGTATGGAGAAACCTAACTGCCCCCAGAATCCTGGCCTTAAATCCCTAAATGAGTTAAAGTAGAGGCTACATTTGTCTACAGAGGCTATAATTGTGTTTTTTTTTTTTTTTTATATAAACACAGCCCAACACATTTGTAATTTGTTTACAGAATAATTAGGGTCCTTGTTGTTGGTGCAGTGTGTCCATATCAAAACTGAAACCTGTAGGAAGAGGGTGTCATAAAAGTTACATGTACAAGTAAAGACACAAATAATTTTAACTATCAAGGGTATTTTGAAAGATGATTTGCTGTAGGAACATTTGATCTACCACTGTGTGAATGCCATATTTTAAACTAAAGGTACTTTTTCTCTTACAATAAAGCAGGCTATTTGATGGCATTTTGTTTGTTTGTTTGCTCTTATTTCCCAAAGACCCCCTATATCCACAGTCATGTCCTTCATCACCGGTGAAGGTCTGAGCTTATCTGGTCGCATGGCTCACTATTAATCACTCCACAAACCCAATCAAATAGTGACTGATGGGCAGTCTGGCCTTGTCTGGTCATCCTTCAGTCCTGGAGGTGGCTATTTGCTCTGCTGGGCCACTATAAAATACTGATCCTGTGGCTGATTATGACTGCTGATTTTGTGCATAAACACAGTGGTGTTGTCTTTATTGGGCACAGTATGTGCTCTGCAACCCTGTGCCAACTGTTTTGTAGACCTAAAGTTCAGCACTTTGTTTGGCTAATGCTGAAGCTCACAGTTTGACTTTGTGATAGTTTAAACAGAGGCTGAGACAGAACATTATTTATCAGCTGGTCATAGGCACTGTAGGATATAGGCCTGACATAAAAGAGTGTGTGCATTTAAAGATAGGGAGGATATAAATGTTCCATTGCTGTAACAAATCAAATTTAGGTACCTGAGCTGTTAGCCAATCCATAGTAATCAATAAGAGCGTGTTGACCTCTTCACTTCATGAACCTTTAGCAGTCAGCAAAGAACATAAAGATGCACCATCTGTTTCCTTGGACTTGGTTTAAATGAGGCAAGAGAAGGGAATGTCCTGAATACATATATAATAAGTAAATTACAAAGCTGGGTAAGTATTTCTGTATTTTTGCGTTGCATCTATCCATCCTTTAGTTGTTTATGTGCTGACTGGTAAAGGGGAACTGTGGTTACACCCTAGGCAGGCTGCAAAAAAAATGTTTTACAAATGTCTAATTTTCTTGACTAAAATCCCCCCTTGGCAGTGATTAGAAAATTGATCAGAGATGAGAACCAATACATGCCCAGTGCTGATGTCAAAACACAGATGGCTTGACTCATTCTACAGCTTACTAAAAGAGTTGTTTAGTTTAATCCCCTCCTAGCCAAATGACTTCCAGGGGGATGTGCCGCATCTGGTTGTATTGATCTCCATTAATTGCTGTGACAGGCAAATATGAAACTAAATATGAGTCAGAAAAAAGCCTCTTATTCTTGAGCACAGCATTAAAGTACAATGGCAGTGATGATACATTTATAAACTACACATTCACAAATACAAAACCGCATTTTTGTTTTTATGGTTATGGTAAGAAGCAGTCCAGAAAGAATCTTTGCAACAGCCTGTTGAGTTTTTTTTTTAAACTGTAACTGATGTGCTACTGGTGCTGAGGCGTATTTTTTGTTTGCATTTGCCATAATGGCCTTTTGGTCTTTCAAGCAGGTAAATGGCAGCCAATACTTCAGGGATTGAACCATTGATCTCTCCTTTATGCTTTACTTCATAGGTACACAGCATAGCCTGAACCATCTAAAAAATAAAGAATAACATTTAGGAAAGGGGCTGGGGGGTATCATGATAAAATCTCTTCTGCGACATTCACAAATAGCAGACCAACCTCAAGTTCATTATTGCTTGTGAAGCATCCACAAATCTGCCTGCCTTAAATGTGCACTGTCCGCTCTCCTTATATTGGGGTCTTGAGGCTTAATGCTGCCTAAACAGCAAAGATGTAATTCCCTTAAGCTGTGCACAGTGCAATAACTGTTACACTAACAAAGACAACAGAGGTGGTGTGTTTTTGCAGGAATATGCCAAAGCCCCTATAACCTTTAGTGTTGCAGTGGTCATTTGAACCTATGGAACACCTTACACATCACAAAGAACAAGAGCAGTTTACCCTAGGCAATATTAACCTGACTGGTCTATTAAAGGTAAAATAGAAAGGAATGCGTCCAGAGCAGTTTTATCGTGTGTAATTGTAGATTATCCTTTCTCTTCTCTATGTGGCTGGTCTAAATCACACTAAAAATGCTCAAAGTGAGAGAATTTTACAGTATGCTGGGCTCATATAGCGATCTGTGAGTCCGGTGATAGCAGTCACATGACGAAACTCAGCTGTGACATCAGTGTAGTCAAAGCCCTCGGGCAGGCGTATAGAACCACTACTTCACGCATTGTTAAGCACACTAAAAGGATCTTTAAAACGTCATTACAATGGTCTATTTTACTGTTGCCAATTGTAGGAATGGCTTTGGATCTGGAAAAGGGATGTTTAATTTTCCAAAGGACCCAGTTTTGCGTCAAATTCCGATCTGGAAACTAAATAGAATTTACAAAAATCAACCAGACAATTTGTGGAGTCCAAGCCAATACAGCAAGCTATGTTCATATCACTTCACAGCAGATTCTTTTATCATCAATCCTGCTTTCACAGCATCAGTTGGATTCAATATACCAATGTTGTAATGGCTTGTTTTCTCTCTTGCATACCTTTCATAAATTGCCTGATGGCAATAAAGTTGATTCAAAGCATTGTTCATGATTTTATGAAATGTGTTATTTCATAAAACAAACCCTAGCTAGTTGCACAGTTTAGTATAGCAGCAGGTCCAGATGGATTTCCATTTCATTTTGGTCCAGGCTCCAGACCAACAAGAACGGCGGAGACCCCACAGCTCGAACCCCAACGGCCCAGAGCCATGAGCTGAACCGGGTAATAACTACATCCAAAGGGCAATGTTTCCCACCAGGACAGCAGAAAGGACCCGGTGGTTGAACCTCTCACTGCAATCAGATTAAAGAGAGACTGCCTTCCCTGTCCAGGCACTGCAGTGGATCACAGCTTGCTACAACACACAGGACTTCATATTCGTCCTTGTTAAAGGATAAAAACTCCATCACAAAGGTGAATAAATATGGACTGGCTATTCAAAGTGACTACTTCTTGACTAAACTGACGCCACGGCATCCTACAGCGCCTCAGTGGGTCAAGTGACGAATGAGGAACTTCACATTGTCTGCTATCTTAGTGAATTATTTTATGCTCTAAACAAAAAAAAAATGCTGTGATGCATTTAATTTTGTACATACCATCAAATAAGAAACTATAAGTATGTGTTTTCTATTTGAACTTTAAGGTTGTTTGAGCCTTTTAAAACACACCTTGCCTATCAATTTGCCTATCAATTCATAAAGTGCGCCACTTAAACTTGTTCACATTTTCTCATACTACAAAAAATCTTAATATATTAAACATTTATTTTAGCAAATGGGGCCAACAGGAAGTTAAGCATGTGAAGCAATTATCATAATTCTCATGAAAGGAATTTGCTGTTGCAACAGTTTATTTGTTCTAAGACATGGCAAAATATGCATGATCTGTACATTAAAGCCATAAGGTAAGTCTAGAGAAGAAGTAATGAACTTTTTTCAGCTGCTTTAATCCAGGATTTCATTCTTTAGATTAAGTTCCAGGTTTGATCATTAAAGGTGAGGATATGCGTGTAGAATAACTGGTAAATAAAGAGTTCTCCCTTGTGGCTCAGCTCCCTCTTCTTTTTCTGGTTGAGTACATGGCCCTGAAATTAAAGGAGTTGATCTTCACCCTGCTCACTTTGCACTCAGGGCATATTGAAGGTCTTGGCAGGAGGGAGCCAACAGAACCACGTCATCCACAAAAGCAGGGATTAAATCTGCTGGTCTCCACTGGAAGAAATTGAAATCTAGTTAAGTTATTTTTTCTTAAAATAAGTGCATTTGTTCTTGGATTGAGGAGGTAAAAGACACATTTTGCCAATGGAACAAGACAAGTTACATTTAAAATAAGAAAACACAATTGCATTGTCTTATTTCTAGTGCACGTTATCTAATAATCTTATTTTAAGAGTAAAAATACTCATTCCATTGGCAAATTATCTCATTTACCTACTCAAATTAAGGATAAATACACTTAATTTAAGAATTTTTTACTTATTTCTAGATCATTTTTCCAGTGAAACCAGAACCCTTTTGACTCTTGGCTGCACCTAAAAATCTTGTCCATAAAGATTATGAAAAGAAACAGTGATAGAGGGCTCTGCTGGAATCAAACATAAACTTATATAGTTCTGACTTAATGTCCGCATCATTGTGCAAACTTCTGCACTGCTTGTCCTGTACATAACTTCTCATAACAGAGCATCTGTTATAAGCAGAAACTTGTACAGTACAAATCCAAAATTCTAATAATAAATCTGGAACTGTATTTAATTAATTTTGAACTTAATATATCTGATGTCCGGGGCTCCGGTTTCCTATGCGTCTATCTTCGATGCCTGAAGGACAGATCTTTAAGTTCTCACTACCAGTATTGAGATAATATTTTGTATATTGGCTATATTGACCCATCTGAAAAGAACATTTGTTATAAGCAGAAACTCGTGCCCTCAGAATCAGAATTTCTCATACTGAATTTGTATTCATTTATTTTGAACTTTATGTATTGGTCTGAAAATAAATTTCTAATTTATTTAGGTTTAGTTTGTCTATTTTTATGTTCAGTTCCATGTTCAGTTGTATTTTCACTTTCAGTTCTATAGTTGAATTTTCATTTTGTGAATTCACTTTTTTTCATGGCAGACATCCAAAATTTTAGAGACAGTTTATACAAAGAGAGAATATAAACACTGGTACACTACAAAGTTTTCAAACGTATCTATTGGGAAATGGGAAACAAATTTCCACATAACCCCAACGGTACACTAGCTGATACCTCTTTAGCTTATAGCTTAAAGTAGCATCCCTGTTTCAGTTAATCCATTATCATTTCAGATCAGGGATGTCAAAGTCAAATACACCTAGGGACAAAAAAACAAATTTGCTTCAAGCCGAGGGCTGGACCTATTAAATGTTTTGTAAAACATATTGACATTAACATAGTCTATTGAACCAAGACCTAACAGATTGTTTTCTTTTAAACTAAATATAAATATCAATATTATAAAGACACTTTTATTATATTAATAAACTCATTACGATAAATACACAAATGAAAGTGCATGCATTATAAATTATGTTTGAATTGTTTTGGTTTTTGATTTCCCCCCTTTAACAATCCAAGCACGCTGGGCTGAAGCCAGTTGTCCAAGGAGGCAGAGCGCATTAATTGTGCTGCGCAAATGCTGCGCACAGGTGTCAGCAGTGCTGAATGAGCGCAGTTAGTGCACTCTGTCTCCTTAGACCATGACTTCAGCCTTGCTTGGATTGTTAAAGAGAGAAGAACAAAAACCAAGACAATCCAAAGATGCAAAGCACAACCAAAATATTAAAAGAGAAACACAATCATGTTCCCCTGGGAATGTAGTGTTGGTGCGTGCAACACAACCGCACCACCACTACAGTGGACAGAAGAAGGTTTGGGTTGGGATCTATTGGGTGGTGGAGCTACTTCATCCTGCGATGGTTGAAGTAGCCCTCTCTGGGTGGGGCTATGTCATCCTGGGATGGTTGAAGTAGCCACCCATGTGTGGGGCAACGTCATCCTTCGGATCCAGATGGCTGGCCTGTTTTGATTGTGCCTGCCAGTTGGTGGTTCTCAGTTCCCAGGGCTGGGTGTTTGAATGTGTGGTGACTTCATCTTGGCGGCTGCTTGGCACAGCCTGAGCCCTCTCTGCTGGATGGTGAACCCTGCATCTTTGGTCTCTGGGCCAATAAGTAGATTTGTTCTAGTGGAGCTAGCTGCCAATGGATCATATGGCTCATCACTGCAGCCCCCTGGGACTTGCTTTCGCACTCTGGCTGCTGGAGAATTTCCTGGGGCTCTCCGCTCTTATGGCAGATGTTGCTATCCCCTATTGGTTCTATGTGGACTCCCGCACTCTTGGGCTTCTTTTGGAAATGTTTCGTCAGAACTCTGGTTGCAGCATTTTGGATCAGCTGAGGGCTTTTAACTACAGTTTGTGGACTTACTGATGGTAAAGAATTACAAAAGTCCACCCTTAAAGTAACAACTGCATCGACTAGTTTCTCAGCATTACCCCTGGACAGGATATTTCTAATTTTTGCAATATTCCGTAGATGAAAGAAATATATTCTAGAAACCTTTTTCATATGGGATATAAATAACAAGCCCTGATCAACAATAACACCAAGATTTTTCCTTTTATCTTTTTTTCTTTCGTCTTATCAACCTTCCAGGACACTCAGATCTTCTGGTTACAGTCTACTTTGTATCGGCAGAAACAAACATAGAGGAGCAGCTTTAAGTTTTTAGCCACTTTTAATCTGGAACAAACTATCAGAAAACGGCAAAAAAGCCAAAACACAAAATTCCTTTAAATCAAGGCCGAAGACCCACCTGTAGAGCTGTAGTAGTCCACAAACAGATCCAGATAAAAAATAAATAAATACTCTGAACAAAATATGATATTATACAATGACTATCGCCCCATGATAATGATGTGTATCTGGTTGAAGGTTTTTTATTACTTTGTGTGATGATTCTGAGGATTCGATGATTTGCTGTGCACTTTTTAATGATCTCAATATTTACTGCACATTTGTTCAGTTTTTTTTATGATGTAAAGCACTTTGAATTCCCGCTGCAGCTGAAATGTGCTATACTAATATTTTTTACTTTACTTTTACTTTGCAATTATGTCATACTTTTTCTATTTTCAAGTTAGAGACTAAAATGTGTTTTCAGATATTTTTAATATTAAGTTTTTTTTTTATTTCTTATAACCTAACTATATATCTATATTATATACAGTTATATAACTATAACAGTTTTTCAGACCCGGTGTGTTTTTGGGCCCCATGATGCTGTTGCTTGTTGTTTTTCTCTAATAAATCTTTGATACCTAAAGATAAATGTTTAACATTTACTAGACACTTCTGGGATTAGATTACACAAGGGTGTAGTAAGATTCATAATTGTGAGACCTTTTAAGGCAAGTTATGATGTTTTATAAGGGGTGTTAGAGTAAAAATGGGCTGAATAGAGCCACATGCCAAACCTTTCAAATTTGAACTTTCAGAATATTTTCCATTCTTTTTCATACTGTATAAATGCACTGTATAATGCTATAAAATCTGATAAAATGCATGCATCTTTGGTTTTAACATTACCACAGATTGTATTTATTCTGGTGAATGCTGTAGTGAAAAAGGAGGCACTATAATCCCTGCCTTTTATAAAAGGTTAAGTACCCTTCGGGCGATCAGAGGCAGAAAGGTCAGTCTCACCAAGGATTTTCCTTAAAGATTTTACTTTTGTTTTCAACAATCGAGACACAAGGGTGTTTGGACTGCCCTCACAAAGCTCTTTCCCAGGGTAGAGTATTGGTGCGTGGGAGCAACAAATAAATAAAAATACAGAAAATCATTGAGCGAGAACATTCTTCTTTCACCAGCAACTTCCACTCCTGGACCAACACTTTTTGAAATGTCACTTCTTTAGGGCTACAATTCAAATTTTTGTTCTGCTCAGTGTAAGTAAATATATCTGACTGTGAGTTTTTGTTCTCAGATCCCAGGAGAGTGGCTTGCTCGATCAGCAAAGAGACCTCTCACTGCAACCTCCCTCTGACATATTGATCAGGAATCGCTATTGGCGCTCGCCCTGTGACTAAAATGCTGCTCCACCAAGTTAAATTCCCTGCTGGGAAACTGAATGAAGAAACAAAACCTTTTGCGCTTTTACCCCCCCACCCCCAGCCACACACAAACACACAAACACACACACACCACTAAATTGCTTTTTAGCTCTGCTTCCACACTGTTACTGCTAGCGGGACAAAAATTAAAATGTCACTTTTGTGGAGCACGACTTCCGATATGCCTGTGTATCTGTTTTGCTACCTGTCACTCATACATTTCATGCTCTGCAGCAGACCAAGGAATGATCACACAGAAATGGTTTATGAAACCGAAGGTAAATTGTTTTGTTTTCTGACTCCATTCTCATTCTTGTTTGTTGACATCAAATGGAGAAGGAAGCTCCTTGGCACATGAATCGAGAGACATTTCCGTTCTGGAAACAATAATCCTCCTGACATTTGAAATGATCAAAACATGAAAAAAGGCAATGTTTATACAAATTATTGGTGAATGAGTGGCATTTTGTAATCCTCGTGATAGAGATAAATCTTCTCTTTTCAATTTTTATTTCTTTCTCCATTTGTGACAAGAAGAAAAGATTTTTTGTATACATTCAAAGTTTAACATTTAATAAATATTCTGGTAGTGATTGGTTTTGAAAGCTCTCTAACTGCTTGAAAAGGCTAATATATCATTTTATCATCTACTGAACGTATTATTTTATCCCCATTATTCAAAATTGATGGTTTGCAAAAGTATTGTGTTAAAAAAATTACCTATCTATCACATGTTCAACATTTGATATTGAACCTTCTGCAGGCAAGACCAAAGAACTTTTAAAAAATGATAAAGAGATTTCAAAATATCACTTTTAGTCTAGAATGTCCTACAAAATCATCTGCTAATTTATTTTTTTATAAAAAGAGGACTTCTGACCTGTGAAAATGAAAATAAATTATGTAAAAAATGGTGAAGTTAAAATGGTGACATTAGGTAATGAGCTTAGGCTTTGAGGCGTATATTGAGTATCAGTGGGGGAGTATTGAGGCTTGCTTCATGTCAGGGAGGAGTGAAAGAGGATGATGTTAAAGGCCTTGCAACACCAGCCATACCATGTGACTACTTTGGGAAGTGGTTCAGATTCCCTGCAAGTTCTTAAAGGAATAGTACACCCAAAACATGATTAGCCTTCATTTTCTACTCACCCCCATGCTGAACAACACTCTGGAGTACTTTTTTGATATCTCAAATGCATCTGGAGATCTGGGAGGCTTCTTGCTGTCTGCTGACATTCAAACATTCAAATTATGGAGGTGCCCAGCGCCCGAGGCAGAAAGGTCCATAAAAGTCCACAAAAAACGTTTCAATATTCCTCCATACTGCTCGTCCAATGTATTCCAAGTGTCCTGAGTGGGTAATCCTATACACTACTGTTTATGCTCTAAAAACATTCTAAATGACTTCGTTTCGAGTAAATTCTGGATGCTACCCACTCAGGACACTTGGAATACATTGGACGAGCAGTATGGAGGAATACTGACACGTTTTTTGTGGACTTTTATGGACCTTTCTGCCTCAGGCACCACAGACCTCCATTATTTGAATGTCAGCAGACAGCAAGAAGCCTCCCAGATCTCCAGATGCATTTGAGATATCAAAAAAGTACTCCAGAGTGTTGTTCAGCATGGGGGTGAGTAGAAAATGAAGGCTAATCATGTTTTGGGTGTACTATTCCTTTAAAGGCATGGCTGTTTGTGGGTGTTTGCTTTTCGGGTTTAGGATAGTCATAGTTTGGAGATAGTTTGGAGAGTTTATGTAAGAGAAGGAAAGAAAGTACATTGAGTGGAAGATAACAGATAAAGCCAGCTAGGAAGAGGAGCATTTTACATATGTGGGACCATTTTGATATTATGTCTCCCAATAACAGGATTTTCACCAGCTGAACTTCAATAAGCGGGATGTTAACAAGGAAACTGGGTTTATGAACATACCTGCTACCTTATTTGTGCCAAAAAATGTGTGAAACCTTTCTACGTCGAACTCAAGTCAAGGCTTTTGAAAACACAACTGTCCTTTCCATACTCTCTCTAAAGAGTGCTCAAACTGTATGCAAGTGAACAAATGCACTCCCTCCAAAGCACAGGCAGCATAACCTTTGAAGGCAAGGGTGCAGTGTCCATTGAAAGGTACAGAAGGATTCCCAAATGGCTGATCTAAGCAGCCGAACTGTGATTGTCATCCATATATAGAGCTGCTATACGGATAAAACGCAGAATCAATGCCAGGCTGTGCGTAGCTATGCCCCCCTCTTCTTCCAGCTGCAGGTAGATCGCAGCATCGTCTCACTGGATCAATCTGACAGTTAACACAGGAAATTAATTTATGAACAGCCCCAATTGATATTTAATATTGAATGAAATACAAATTGGTTCAATTAACATTGAGGAAAAAAAAATCCTGGTTAAAACCCTGCAATAAATTAGGATTAATCGAACATATCTAAAGCTATTTAGATTAGCAAGAACTGTATTTTTCACAATTTGTTAATATGTGTAAAGGTGAAGTGATGTTTGTGGTCAGAGTTGAGATGCAATAAAAACACCTCATCCATCAACAGCACTCAGCTGGCATCTTCTGTCATTGTAAATGGGTGTTTTCAAACATTGGAGAAGCAGCTTAAAAAAGGAATCTATTAACCAAAAACATAATTGTACATGCATATCCAGTACCCTCTTCAAAGTTCCACCAGCATTGTCCCTGTCTGCTAAGCTTATACCATTTCAATAGTGACAGAAAAAACACCCACAGCCTGCCACATAAAACTGTACTTAGAAAATTTACACTCAGAACATGTTAAAAAATATTTTATTATACACATGTGATAATCATAAAAGAAATTAGTTTTTATTTCTTATCAATGATAATGTATGAGGGCCCTAATTGATAAAAATATATGCAAGCATCACAGATTATTTTGCTGACAATGATTCTGCACTCAGTCAGCAGGTGGTTTCATGAGCACCTGAGGCTCCAAGAAACAACCCCTTATCTGAAGCAAGTGGATCAAGTGGTTAAATGCCTCATGAGGCCTCATCTCTCCATCACTGCAAAAATATTAGTTTCCAAACTCGGTCCTCGGGACCCACTGTGTTTGTGTTTCTGCTCCAGCCCACCTGCATCAGGTATTGGACTCCCTCCTCAGTAGCCACCTCAGGCTGCCGGGTCCTGCTGATCACCCATTTATTTAAGTCAGGAGTGTGGGGGAAGGGACATACCTAAAAAGTGCAGGGCAGTTGGTCCTGAGTACTGACTCAGTTGCCCTAATTTGAGTGACCCATCCAATGTGTTATTATTTGGGCTAAGAATGTGAGTAAGGTAAGGGATTTAGCTAGACATACAAGGTGATTACCAATACAATAGCTCAAGGGAACTGAGAAAACAGTTCCTGATGAAACACTTGGCAACTCACTTTCTTCAGGCCAAATACAGTTATTTTTGCAAGCACCGGGGGAGTTCACTGAGAACCGCATCATCAAATAGGAGAGTTGCGTAAAGCTGACACTGCACTCACGTGAGAAAACTAAGAAAATAGACTGAATGGTTGGAGCTTTGTAACTGCATCTAGTGCAAATGTAAAAAAAAAAATATATATAAAATGCATTTAAAAATATAGTAGTAATAATAAAAACATTAGAACTGATTAAAATGATAATTTGTGTGTCTTTTGTTTCAGACATTTTAATGACTATTTTTTTGGGAATCCAGTGTTAACCACACACCCATTAAGCTTGAAAATAAACCAAAGTCGTCTACTTTTCTAGTGCTACTTAAGTGCAGAGTAGTGCAGGGAAAACTGTAATTTGTGCTGTTCGTTTTTAAGAATAATTTTTGATTTCGGCCGATAATATCACAATCTGACCAGACATTGATTATAATATTTGTACTCGCTTAAAGTTTGTACATAAGATAATATGGCATTCCTGGGCTGGTATTTAAAAGTTGGCATATTTACCTTATTTCATGGCTGACATGATTATTTTGTCGTTACCCCTGGCATCCCCATAGCATTTTCTGTCAAGATCTTGCTGTCAGAACTTCACAGTAAAAGCACACGTGAAGCATAACTGTCATGATCTTGGCGCCGATGACTAGCTTAATGGTTCATTCCATTCACCTGTCAAGCTCCACCCAGTTTCTCATGCTCGTTCATCTGTGTCACCTGCTCCAGTCTTCATTTAACCAGCTCTCATCAGGGCCAGATTTTTCTAGAGCCTTTGGTGAGAGATTTATATCCTACCTGATTGTGTTCTGATTAACTAATCCTGACCTGTTCTAGCTCTGGACCTCTGCGCCTGCCTATTCCTGTTCTGATCTGTTTGCCTGACCTCTCATCAGACTTCTGCTGGAACCTGCTTGTGGACTGAACTGGAGATGCTTCCTGACTTCAACCAGGATTTCCCTTTGGTACGTCTTCGGATCTTCTGGCTTTGACTTCTGTGAACCTCTTTGACACAGGTTTTGGCTTTACCCTCTGCATTACCCTCTGCAAAACCAGGTTGGTGACTCACGGGTTCATAATCATCCTCCATCAAATTTATGTTACCACTCTCCTGTGTTTCCTTTCTGCAGAGGTTCCTGCCTCAGATGCTGTAGCACCTGTTATCACAGATCGATTTTTAAATAAACACTTTTTGAGTAATCCCACTGTCTGTCTTGCCTTGAATACTAGGTGCTCTGTTCTGAGTCGTGACAGTGACAGTACCGACTGCTGCTAAATTGTTCTCAGTATACAACTTTTAAACCAGCTTGGAGAGATCATCAAGTTTTGGCAAAGCCCTGAAATAGTAGATAACTTTTGTTCATCCAGAGCTGTGTCTGAATGATGGTTGGATTCAACGGTACTTCCTTATATCTAGCTGGGCAGTGAGCACCAGTGCTGGGGAGAGGCAGCAGCTGCCCTGGGTTTGTAGGGCATTCCTTATGTCATGTTTTGTCATTCGTTATCAATTGTGTTTTCTCTACATTTGATTCTGACTGAAAAAAAAAAGCTCCATCTTGGTGGCACTTCTTTTAACCTATGTCACAACCACAACCAGTCCGTGATTGGTTGCCATGAGGTAATTTCATAGAAAAATGCAGCGGTAATCACACTACCTTCAAACTGTTACCATTATTTCACAAGTTTGCATGTACACAAGTTTGTGTAGTTTCACCACAATCACTGGGGACACCGTGTTCGCTGTGAATGCACACTAAAGGGCAACTTTAGTTCACACTAAAGGACAACTTTACTTCTGCAACCGCACACATCAAATGTCGCTTGCGTATGGTCGCAAACCAGTTTTACTGGTATGCTTCTGCAATGTCGGTCTGGAATTTCTAGGGACGCAGAGCAGTTTCCCGCTAAAGCGCTAGAGGGAGCCTATTCAAGAACTTGCGAGAGCTTCGGCTGATGGTCACAAGAACTTGTTCTGCGGAGCAGGTGCGAGTGTTTATTTTCCAAAACATGTGAGGCATCATTCAAGTCGTTGTTCTTCCGAATCTCCTCGATCAACCTTTCGGCGTGGTTTTCCATTGTTGTTGTTGCTCCTCGGTTTTTAAAAATGGCGCGCCACCGCACCGAATCTAGGATGACCACACAGACAGCCGGAAAGGCATACCAAGGACCGATCGAGGTCTGTGCGGGTTTGCGACCCTCCGACGTAGTCATGATTTTTTAAAAGTGTGCAACGACGGTTGCAGAACCTCAATGCGGCGGGCATGGTCACGCAGAGAGACAGATATGACGGTTGCAGAGGCTATGCGTCAGAAGTATAAATTGGCCTTAACATGTAACATGTCACTTGCCCTATTTAGAGACAAAGAAATACTAAATATAAACCCAAGAAGATAAGGTCAACTGACAGACATAGAAGGGGGACTACTGGGGACTGCTGTCTGTTTTCTTCTAATGATATGGACAGACTGTATCACACAAAGTAAATGATAATTGGGACCATGTACTGTAGAAATTAAAATTATGAAAATTTCATCTCATTCAGAAAACTGAAGATCAGATGTCTTCCAGCATGATAATGACCCAAGGTGAAGGGAACAGGAGATTGGCTTTTTAAGAAAGACAGTAATATCCAGGATTGTTCTAGTCAATGACTGGATTTAATTAATCCCATAGTGAAATGGAAAAAGGTGGATATTTTGAGTCAACAACCTCAAAACCTTTGATTGTAAGAGGAGTGGACAAAAATCCCTTTGATATGTCCAAACCTGTTCACCAAGTACTCTGCTCTACTCTGCTATTTATTTCACAGTCTTTAATACACTTTACTTAGATATTCAGCAATGAACCAAATTATGTTTTCCCCCATTATAGGTCCTTTTAATGTATTTTTATCCTGAGCATGGATAGATTTTTTTAGTCGACAAACAGACATTATTTAAATGTTTTTTATTTGATTGCTTTTTGTTTTCCCTGAGCCACAGAATGAGTTTGGGTAGTCAAGTGATTTTTCATATATCATTTATTTATTTAGTAATTCGTTATTTGTGTATTAATCTATGAGCTATGTATTTAATATTAAATAATGCACAGTTCCTTTTCGTGAGATTTGTTTGCTTCCTCAGTGGTCCTTTGCTTTCTGTTTGGTTGGAATATAGGGCAGTACAGTTTGAGTGCTCTTATCAGAGACAGTTTGTGTGCTGCTATTTCGTAACAGTTTTTTGCGGCAGCTGGGATTTAGGAGACCTTTCCTGGGTAGCGTGTGAGCTCCTGTCATCGCCTTTGCTGGCGAGGAGCCATAGGATGGGTCCAGACAGTTATGCAGGAGTGAGTGCTCAGAAGAAGAACGCTTAGGAGCGAATGAGCTACCCAGAACGCCTTGCTCTGTATCACTGTCTGGTGTAGCGCAGCCGCTCTTGTCCTCCTGTAACTCCTCCTGCTCCTCCTCTTCATCGTCGTCACAGCACAATGCATGGTAGAGAATTTTGTCACTGAAACGGACTCTTTCCCGTGTGCCAGACGTACGGGAGGTCTTTTGGCTGTGTGTGGAGCTGCTGGCCTCCTCGCTAGAGGAGTCTGGAGTAATAATGCGTGGTCCATTAGGGATAGGAAGTCCGCCATTCATCTGAGAGTAGACCGAGGCAGTGGTTGGGGGTGGAGTTGGTGTCTGGGTCTGGATAGTTCCCTGGCCCAGCTCATGTTGTAGATCCCCTGGTTGTTCACTAGACCTGCGGGCAGCTGCACCAGCAGCCTCTAGGTAACTGCAGAACTCCCAGCTATCAGAGAGCACATCTGCATTGAGAAAGTCCAGCCTGAAGGCTTCTCCCAAACCTCGCTCACTGCTGGATGTGCTGCTAGCTGTGGCCACCGTCCAATCATCTGGCTCCAGGTCGAAGTCAAAGTCGGATGTTAATTTATCGATTTGACCCACCACCTAGAGCAGAAAAAAGACACAGAGGAAGAACCGATAAGATGTTTTAGAGACACCAAAAAAGTGGAGAATGAGCTACTGTATCTGATGCATGTTTGTTAAGCAAATTTCAGGCTAAAAGCAAATATTCCCAAAGGGTAACCTGTTTAATTGTACCACAACTTTCCAGATTCTAATATCTAAAACAGCCTGAAATATCTAATGATTTAAAACACTATATATTTATTAAGTGGAGTTTATCATTTTATGTCCATATCTGATTTTGTCTTATGTGGATTAAGTTAACTTTAGAAACTCCAAATGATAAAGGTGATTACATTAAACTTGACACTTTTTAACTGACGATTCTTATAGTGAGGTAATAAAGGAAATAGATTTCCTGTTATGCTAATGGGTAACCTATAGCTGAAAAAAGCTGTCTCCAGGTTAGTTTACAAATAACCATTAGAAGAGCATTTTTGTCCATTATCAGGAGTTGAAAAATGTTCCCTGCTTAAACGCATCTAAATCCAAAAGAGGGTTCATTAAAGGCATAAAATTAAATACTGAAGTATTTCAAGATTAAATCTTGACTGGCAGTTTCCTGATTAAGACTGATTTTACAAACAAATTTAAACTGTGTAATCTTTACAGTTGACAGAGGTTGTTTAAAAAAAATCCTAAAAAAGGCATTTCCCACATCTTTTGACACTAGGACCAACTTAGAATTTAAAGGAATTGAATAAACTGAATAATTAAACCTTCAATATTCTTCCTGTATTTTGAATTCAATAAAAACAAAACCTAATCTGCAATCATTGTGGATAAGTCTATTCATTATACCTGCATAGGACACATATTATGACCTTTTTAGATTTAGACTGAAATCTCACAGACTGTGTAAATGCGGATATCTTTCAAAGACAAACGCAAAAACTATTTCAATATATAAGATGAGGTCTCTTAGCTACAGATATAGTTCATTGTATGCAAGCCCCATGATTTTTTTTTTTTAGGTTGTCAATCACAGCACAAAAAAAATCACTTGACAGCCCACAGAAAAAAATTAGAATTTGGATATGATTAAAACACTGATTTAATGCCAAGCTGCGTAGTATCATGCAACAAACATCAAAAGAAAGTCCTACAAATTATGACTAGCAATAATATTGTGGATGATCTTGTAAGCTAAATGTATTGTATCTATCTATTTTATCTAGCAGCCATTTTACAACAGTGAGTATTTAGCTAGAAATTAACATGTTCTTTTGTATTTTCATCACCCAACTTCAAAATAAATGACTTTTAGTTTTAGCAGCAGTCTGCATTATTGATGAAATGAGAGCAACAGTATCAGACTGTTAGAAGCATCTGGAACACTAAGCAAAGCTAATAAATGTAAATAAATGAACACAAAAGTTGAACATAAATTTATATTCCTTTAGTATCATTGCTATATCATCTGTCATAGTAAGAACCATGTGACAGTTTTGCAACAATCTTAAATTGTAGATTGTTCACAGTTTTGGATGGGTACACAACACTACAGTTTTTCAAAGATAAAGTGAAGAAAGTATCTCAACCAACAATAAAACAGGGAAATATTAAATGAAATCATGGCCTGTGATCTCACTATGAAGTAATTCTCTGTGAGAATTGTTCCTGCTGCATAATATGACATTTCCAGATGCTTACTATGCTTGACATCTCACTGATATACACCCCCCACACTGGTAAGTTTAACTAAATCTTAGATTTATTCACAGCTGCTAATAGATTTCTGTTTGATTTTGCAAGACTTTTTATCCGTTAAACATAAATTGTTTGTTAATGTGTTTGAAATGGGCTGTGTGTTCCAGCAAGGCCTCCTGTGGACAGGTGTTTTAAATTGCTCCATGTCGCATCCTCGCAAAATTGAATATCCTCGGAAATGAGCTTGTAACACTAAAAACGTGTCACGACTCATGAAATAGAAGGCAGAAAGAGGAGGAGAAATGCCTCTCACCCGATTGGTTGAAGCTGCATCTTAAACAAAGTGCCAGCTTTAGTTTTTATTGATGCACAGTGTGTTTTATGACTGCAACATAAAACCCATTTGTATCTGTTGTTTTTTCCCCCCCAATTGTACAGCAAAGTAAACAGACTATTCTACTTTCGCCTGAAAACATACTACTTAAAAACATTTATTTGTTATTACCTTCAAATTGACCTGAACGCTTCTGTGATCAGGAGCTGCTGTGTTGAGTGTTTGATGAATAGAATGCCCTTCAGTTTAAATTGCGCTGCCTTGCTTGACAACCCCTAAAATCCCAGCCCTCTGTGCTTGACATTTTAGCTCCCTCAATCAGTGCATTCGGCTTTTAACAATGGATTGTGAAAATGAAAACACTCAAGCTCATGTAGCCTGTAAATGATACGTTTTCCCTGAAACTATTCAGCAATTAAACACTACCTTGAATTTTTTGGGGTGTCTGCAAAAAAAAATGGGTTTGCATTGCTTAGCAACAGGAATGCAGATGAAATGAGGAGCAAACCTGCTTTCACTTAAAAGAAAAAAAATAAATATTTGCAGTTTTTTGTTTTCCCCAGGTTTGGTGATAGTAAAATAAAAATGATTGCAGCACAAATCCAACACTAATCTTTTTTTGCTAACTCTTGTAGTGGCAAAAAGTTTGATCCCATCCATGTACAGGAGGCGGCTCATAGTGGCCCCATATCTGGGTGAGACCTATACAGAACAGCAGAGAGACGGATAATCTCCTTGGTATATAACAGATTTGACGAAGGGTTTCGCAATTGGCTTTAAATCAGCCTCAAGGGTGGTTTTCCACAGCACTATAGACTGTTTGAGTTTGTAATCAGGCCCTTCGCTCACTAGACCTGGATTCTAATCCTGCATGGGGCATAAATATCAGCTGTGCTTCTGCCATCAACACCTTTGTTTATAGATGTTTGAGCTCGGCTTGTTTTTCAGTTTAGTTCTGTTTCTCTGAATGTGACTAACTGGATGTGCTCTTTTCGTCCCCTGATGTGGGAGCTGGCTATGAGCTCGTCTGCCTGGCTGTATCTTCCCTGATGCCTTCAAGTCAATGAGTCGATGCAATCAACTGGTTTACCTTAGCTAAAAAACTTTAAATCAATTTGACTGTGTGATCTGGTTGAATTGGAAAGTGCCTTGAGATGATGTGCTGTGAATCGGCGCTATAGAAAAAAACTGAAATAAATTTAAATATCACATAGATATTTACCTGAATTATAACATAATATAGTCTTGTTGCATGAGTGCCTACCTCATGATATGAGAGCAAAATAACATAGCACCATCAAACAAGGTCCATAGTTTTCACGTCTATCTGTCGATCTATCTATCAGTCAATCTGTGTGTCTGTCTGTCTATCCGTCTATGTATCTATTTCTGTTAATATTTAAAAAACCCTTAAAAAAGGTTTGGGCAATTTTGTTTTTCATTTGCTAACAGGGAGATTTGGACATGTGTTCACATTAACATTAGGATGTTGAATAAATTAGTTCCTGGTGGAGAAGCATGGATATTTACGCAATGGAGCCCAATTTGGGATTGACAGATTTATTTAACATCGTTTTCACTTTGCAGCTGTGCAGATCTTTTTCTTTTAGTTCCAGAAGCAGATGACAGGAAATGATGACTAAATCTGGAAACATCACCACTGGAGAAGCTTTACAGGAGCTCATTATTTCCGATTTTTAATGTTGTTAAACCCTCTGTATTTGAATCCAACCGAATACCACTTCATGCAACACTTTGGCTTGTCTGTCGATAAGCTTTTTCTGCAGATCCAACAGCCACAACATCGTACACCTCATGAGTACCTGGAAGGTGCTCTTCTGCTGGCACACTGTCTGAGGGAATTGGGCTGTATGAATCCTCTAATCCTTGAATTACTAAACCTGTTTGCTATGTGATTTGCAGACTTTAACTTGTGGAGCTGTTATTGTGAAATGCCTCTCCAAGCTAAGCAGAGAGACTAAAAAGCCCTGTTTACTTCATTACACAACTATTAATCAGAGGATTAAAAAATTATTAGGTGCATTTCAAAACATCTTTATAATACCCAGACAGAGGTTGCTTGGTAGTAACTGCTGCATGTTGTAAGTTCATTAAATATTGTTACTGTCTTAACCTGAAGCATCTGCGGAGAATGTATTGATGTTCAGCACAGCAGCAACACTAAGCCGTCTACCTTTTTTCTGATCAGCAATTTGAGACGAAACTGCAGAAAGGTGAGCTGCAAAGACTGGAGAGTTTTTGGTAAAAAGAATAAATGAGCTCATTAGAAATAGTTTTTAACGATGGCCATTACAGTAGTGGCTCTAGACAGAATTTATCATGGGGACAGGGTGGGCCCGTGTTTTTCATGGGGGCACAGAAGATAAGATTAACACCCGCTTATAAGAATACAGCAAAAGTCACACACTTCTGATCTAACAGAAAAAAAAACTGTGATCCTATCTTAGTAAAGCTGAAGATTAAAGTTGAATGTCATTTCTAAATCATAGTTTAAGTTATTTTTTTAGGTAAAATATCAAATTGGTCCAAAGGACAAATCAGTAACAGTCGCCTCTGTAAGCGTATATTATAAGAAATTGATTTAGATTAACACAGCAAAAATGTATCTAAAGAAGCACAATATTCGTAAAATAAATGAATTTCAGCAAGGAAATAATCTGATCTTTTAGAGGATGCCTCTTTCAGCTCCTAAAATAAGATAGATATTATGCAATTGAAATAAGAAAATGGATTTTATTTCTTGGTTAAACATCATCTTATTCCATCTACAAATTTTATTACCTTTTTTTAATAAAGGGGAAATAACTTATTTCAAGAAAATTTGACATACCTGACTTACATTTAGAAATATATATATTTTTACTTTGTGTGTTTTCCATACAGGGACCATAACAGGGCCAGGACCAGTTCTACAGGGAAACTGGCCCATGTTGGCCCCAGTCTAGAGCCGTCCATGGTCACTACTAGAAAAATAACAAACAGAGGTAAAGAAGAGGTAACCAATATCTTTGTTTCTTGCAATATTCACTCACTGTGCTGACATCACTGCTTATTTGTGGATCTAGATATCTATTCAAGGGGGAAAGGACACTCAAAATTGTAAATCTCTCATATTTAAAAGAAATAAACAACATGAATAAAAAAATGAAAAAATTTTTAATTTGTAATTTAGTCATTTTCTTTTCTAAGAAGCAAAGAAAACCTTTATCTAAAGGCTAAAATCTTCTTTTTTTGCTAATTTCTTTAGCAGATGCAAATTCAATGGCCTCCTTCACCTGTAATCTTCCTGGTCTCCCTATAATTGCTCCTCAAATCTAATCTCATCCTTCACTTTTTGCAAACAAACTATGAATGCCTCCTATTTTGAATGTCCTTTTTATCTGCAATATGTAACTATCCAGATTTGTAATAAATTACCATAGTTATTACTACAGCAAAAAGTCTATAACAACATGAAAGCAGAAATGATTTATCATATCCCCACAGGTCAAACAAGCTGTCCTATTTAGAAATGCTCTCATAGCAGCCAACATATTTTTCCAATAAACATTGCATGTAATATAATAAAAAAACATATTTCAATAAATATTGGTAAATCCACATCCCATTTAAGGGAGGGAGTTTACCCAATTCAATAGTACTTGTATAAATTGTCATGCTTTCTATGACCACATATAACTAAAGATGTTCAGACACTTTGGATTGCAATATAATATCATTTCAATAGTGGACTAGTGGGTAACACTGCTGCCTTCCAGCAAGAAGGTTGTGGGTTTGATTCCAGGCCCAGGTACTTTTTGCATGGAGTTTGCATGTTCTCCCTGTGCATGTATAGGTTCTCTCCGGGTACTCCGGCTTCCTAAAACATGACTGTTTTGTTAATTGGCTTCTCTAAATTATCCTTAGGTGTGAGTGTGTGCATGAATGGTTGTTTGTCTCTGTGTTGCCCTGTGATAGACTGACTAACTGTCCAGGGTCTAACCTGCCTCTCACCCATAGACAGCTGGAGATGGGCACCAGCACCCCTCATGACCCCAGCCGGGATAAAGAATGATGGAAAATGAATAACTTTAATAAAGATTTTTTTGATAATCCCTATAAACACTGAAAAAATACAATTATATGTTGTATTTAGTACAAGAGCAAGTATTTTTTAATAAATTTATTTAGATAAATCAGAATAATTAGATCTTAAATCTGAAGTCAATTCAGTGTCCAGTTTGTTTACAAATGAAAAATACAGGGTATTCTGTACTAATACTTTGAGCAAAGTATATCTATTTGTCATACAGGAGATGAACAATATAATCAGGGCTTATATAGCATGAATTACATCATCAATCCAGCGTGGTTTAGGAGTCAGCCGATGGCTCGGCTGAGATATTTTCTACAAGCCCAGGTTGTTTTAAGAGCTGCTTTAAGCTTTTCAGACACTGCTGTCTCTCATCTACATCTTGAAAAAACCTCATAGACTCCCGTGGTGATTATAGGTCAGAACAGTTAACCAATGAAGCACAGTGATACCCCTGTTATTAAACCAGGCATCAGGATCTTTGGCATTTTATGCATCTATGAAGTTCATAGAACATAAAATCTGCATCCCTATAAAACCTGTTAGCAGAGGAAAGCCTGAAGTAATTTGAAATGTCATAAGCTGACTGTGAACACCTGACACTTGACCCTTAGCAACTTTAATTCTGGACACTGCTTTTTTCCTTCAGACTCTGGGATCTTGATTTTTAAATAAAACTATGTTTAATTCTAGCACAAAAGGAGCTTTTGTGCCTGTCAACATCCCAGTCATTTTTTCTGCTTTTGTAAAACTGCCTTGATACATGGACTGTCCAAATCATAGTTCATTTAATTTCAAATATTCATTTATTTATTTCAAAGTATTTCGACAAAACAAAAAAAATTGCCATAACAAAAATAATTCAAAGAATGCAAGGACATATTCAGGACATGCTGTCAATGCCGAGAACATGGTCTTTAATTCACTGAAATACATTTTGTTTCAAACCACCTCAGGCATACTGTACATAATGCATTTACATCTTTTTCTATTAATTTATTTCTTTTACTCCACTTTCATTCAAAATGCTTGGATAAGAACCTTGTAAGTTGTAATCTTCTTCAGCAGTGACCTTTTATAACTTACCTTTCCTGTGAAGGGAATTAGAGATTGGCTCCTTGACAGTTGAAAAGTCATCTGCTTCCTCATCAGTAATATAGGCAATAACTTTATACTTTTGCAATTATTTCTGTATTGTTTTCATATCTAAAAACATAATTTAGGTTTTTCATTAGCTGTGACCTATTATAATCATTTAATTAAAATAAACTCCTGAAATATATCACTGTGTGTGTAGTGAATGGATAAATTAGTTTAAGTTTTAAAATGGTTCTGGTCCGCCTCCTCACACACCTGCGGTTGGTTTCCTAGTTAAACGGAGTGTTCCTAAGCTGCTGACTGCCACTTCTTCGACGCCAGTGTTTGCCAGTTTTGGGAAGTTGTCCTGCTAACTGGATCTGTCGGACCTTCACACCCTGGAAGGATAAACTGAGCTTCAAACTGAGCTGGGATACAAACAGGAGGTTTGGATCCACTTTCCCCAAGAGATCGTTTGAGCTTTCACTGAGAAACGGATTATTCTCCA